TTCTGCTACTTATACCGTGATGTGAATTCCGGTCAGGCCAGGTGGTTCAAACTGACATGTTTTGCTTAAGATAGAGTTGGAGAAAACCGTGCAAACACTTGATGAAATTAAAGCTTTTCATTGATAAAAAGTTAATACAAAAGGTGGGGAACTTAGCCCGGTTACATTTGCCGACAAAGAAAAAAGAGAACTAAGCTAAGGGGGAGAGGTCTGGGAATTCCTCATCAGCTTCCAGGTTGACTGTTGCTGTCTGGTCCTGGACACCGGTTCCAGTCTGGCCGGGCAGCTCCTGCTCGGTCTGGTCACCTCCCTGAGCGTCTGCCTCGGCTTCTTCGAGTCCTTCCTCGGCCTCAGCCTGCAGCGCGCTGAAGACATCATTGGCGTATGGAATGAGGTAGGTCGGTAAGAAGACAGCCGGTGGAGAGGCAAACACGTTAGTGTCAGGACCTTGACCGAGCTGTTGGCAGGCAGACTTCCAACCGGCCTTGAAATAAATGTCCTGGGTGGCGAAGACTTGTTTTTTATAGTTGTCTTCCGCCTCTTTGAAGCTGGCATTATTGGCGTCTTCACAATCCTTCTCCCTAGACTTCTTGAGCGCGTCCAGCTCAGCTTGGAGCTCGTCCCTCTTTTTCTCGGCTTCGTCAAGTTGGCCGAGCAACCGGTTGTTGTCGGTGTTGGCGATTTCAAGCGAGGACTTTGCTCGGCCAAGCTCGGTTTGGAGGTTTTGGACTTGGCTGGCAGTGCCCGCTGCCTTTTCTCGAAGTCGGTGGATGCGCTCCATGACTAAGTGTTGTTTTTGGATGGCCTGCAAAAAGGAAACCTGATCAGAGAAGAAACCGTGCAAACACTTGTGAAAATTTCAGAGGCAGATTGAAGCTTACCCTGGCCATGGACTTGACAGACGACTTCACCAACAGGGTGTCAGGGACATGGTCGCTGCCGACCACGTCGCTCGGTAGGAGAAGGGCCTTGGAAAGATCGTAGGCGAGCAGGTGCGCTTTGTCGCCCTTGATCGAAGCTGTCGCCGAGATGTCTTTACCCCGGTGCTTGAGTAGCGGACGCCGGATTGGTGTTGGGTCAGCTGTGACGATAGGTTGCTCGATGGATAGTTCGGTAATCAGCTCGGCAGACGGGTCTGCGCGAGCTCTTTTGCCAACCCGGCGTGTTTCTTGGCTTGACTGCCCGGCAGCTGGAGAAGCTAGGGCGACCACGGCGCCGCTTGACTGACTGGCGGCTGGCGAGCGGATGACGACGCTCGGTATCTCAGCGGACGTTGCGGTGAGCAGGTTTTTGATTCAGCTTCGTTTGGCCATCTCTTGCTCTTCTGTCAACCGGATTAGTGGAACGTCTGGCAAAGTTGGATATGGAGGAGGTGTTGGAGCACGGAGAAAGTCTGTTACTTTACTCCGGCATGGTGCCGAGTATCGATAGGTTGGCGTGTAGCTGAGTAACTCGTTGCAATCCCGGTGGTTGTAACGAAGCACGGTGTAGATGGCTTCAACGTTGGGGTATTGGTAGTTGGCTTGCAAGGCTTGAATAGCTGCAGGAGAAACAAGAAAAATGGTTAAGTACAGAATAATGTAGAGGAACAATTGACCAAGCAGAAGCAGACCGACTTACATGTGGAACCGAAGTTCTTGCTTATGAACCAGCCCGGTACCTCGGCTGTTTCATAATTGCCAGACACCCAGAAGAAATCGTCATCATGCAAGTCCTTGTCTGGTGTGCCGGTCACAATTTTTTCTTTGCCCGGCCTAATCTTAAGGTAGTAGGCGAGGCCATCGCCGGTGTGTCCAAGAGTGTACTGCCACAATATCTCGGCTAAGCCTAAGTCTGTGCCTAACCGGTTGTTAAGTTCGTGCACACCATTTATTATTCGGTAGGTGTTGGTGGACACTTGAGTGGGTGCAAGCCCGGTGCGGCGTAGGAACTCGGTGATCAACGGGTTGAGTGGGAAACGAAGGCCTCCTTCGACAATTGATAGCACGGTGAAGGGGCACTCCTCTCTGCCCCAGGGCGTTGTCTCAATTTCTGCAAGCTCAAGGTGGACATCGGCCGGGATGCCGTACTCCTCCTTAAACGCAGCTAGGGCAGCCGGAGTATCTACGAGGAATCGAAATTTCCCCATGAACGACCGGCTAAATTAGCTCGGCTGAGGAGGTTCGACACTGATTGGTGATTGTTGGCTGCTCGGTCTTTGAGAGCCTCAGACATGGTCAGGGGTCCCCTTGGACTCTGTAGGAAAAGGTTGTCAAGTGTGAGAGGAAGCTCGGTCGCGCGAAACGAGCTTGACTCTAGCTCGGTCATTGATTGTGCCAAACCACCTCGGTTGTGAAGGTTAGCCAAGGAGCCCGGTCGTTCAAGCGGACCAGATATTGGCCCGGTCGATCGACCAAACCCTTTGCCTACCCCGGTTTCCACTAAGGTTGGGACAAACAGGTTATTTGCTCGGTTAGATTGGCCTTTTGGATCAAACGGAGACCTGGAGCCCGGTCCGCCCCAGATTTTCAGTGTTCTTCAGGAAAAATGAAGAACACCATTCACAGTGGGAGGTTTGGGTTGGTTCTTAAGACTAATGCCCTAGGAACTATGTTTTAGTGCCCTAATGTGTGAAATATTAAAGAAGATATCAACAAAAGAGGAGTTAAAGGACTTACCAGTGAAGGGCAGTGACCTTTCCTTCGAGCACGAGTTCGAGAATGGCGAGAGAAGAAGGGCAGCAGCTCTAGGACGCTTGAGACGGAAGATGGTCAGTAAGAATGAAACAGAGAGAGACGGGGCACGTATATAGCCCCAATTGCCGCCCAAATTTAAATATCATGCGACGGCTGGTTGGCTGCTCGAGGACCAACGGGAGAACGCCACGTGTCCCATTGATGGCAGTGTCAGAATTGAAAAGACAGGAAGGTCAGGTGAGGCGTCGACCGAGCAAGCCGAAGAGCCAGGAAGGTCAGACCGGGCAAGTTTGAATCCATGCATGTCGACCAGCCCAGTTGACGAATAGTAAATTGAGGACCGAGGAAGTGATACCCCGGTCAGAATAGGTAATCCCAGTCACGCTTTAGCGGACGGAATTAAGGGGCAATTGAGAGGGAGATTAATGATATGGAATTGGGCCAGACAGATTTGGGCCGGACAGAGTTGTGCCGGACAGATTTGGGCCGAACAAGTGTTGGGCCAAGTTGTGTGGCCCGGCCTTGAAGGAAGCTACTCGGTTAAGGCAGCACGTGAATTGACTGAGCTGCAAGGATCCGTGGTTACAAAGCCAGTCAGGTGAAAAGTCCAACGCCAGGAAAGGCAAGGTTGGACCGAGGTACCTGTTTGCTCGGCAGGTAGGTCGACCGCAGACAAGCGTGAGCTGCCCCGAGCTCGGCTTTGCTGAGATGCCGCCGAGTCCGGTCCTCATCTGAGCTTAGCTGTTGGAGTACTTGGGCATGAAGCGCAGCATGGCAGACGATGGCCGAGATGATACTGCTCGGCTGCCGAGCTCCCAGGAGAATGGGCAGGCAGTTGGGTTAGGTGGTGCTCAACAAGGTTTATGCTAACAGATGGGATAGTAGTGCTACATGTTGAGAGGTCACTGGAAGTAGATTTGGGGCGCAGAAGGTATATAAGCATGTCTGCGCCCCTCATACGCTGGGGATGTACATTTGGTAAGAGAAACACCTAAACACAATTCTCTCCCTTCTCTCTATCTATCCCCTGGTGTGTGTTCTAACTTGACCGTCGGAGGGGTTTTCCGGCCACACACCGCCGGATAGCTCATCGCCTTTGTGTACGCAGGTGATCAGATAGAAGTGGAGCTTGGAAGAAGGGAGTACGGGCTCGCCTGAATATTTGCTCCCCGTACAACAACAAAAGCATTTATCAGAAAATGCAATTTATTCAATGGAGCCAATGACCTCTTTTAGTAAGTTTCAAAAGCAAATATTGTTGTCAAGATATAGGCTGGGAAATATCATTTTGTGTTTTATGTTGTAGACTCCATATTATACACAGGTGTGCTTCAAGTTTTCTCAGTTGCTTCAGATCATTTTGTTCTGTTTTTTCAGGGTATAAATACTTCCCCGACCACTCCAAGCTGAAAGAATAGTTACTTATATTTTGCTGAGTCTAAACTCACAATTTACGAGTCCTTTTCCATCAGGTTATATGATAGAGAGTACCTAGGCTTGTAATAGAATGTCCCCATTGAGCAGATTTATTCAGGAGAAGCTAGTAAAATAAATGGATGAGAAGAGATGATTGGAGAAACTAACATGTGTTGATGAATCTTTTCCACATGCTAACCTGACTTCCACCAGTAAATGCTGAAGGTTTTCGAGCCAATACATGCAATGCTGTCTCACCATTCCCATCTCGAGCCACTGCCAGCTGTGGGTTGTGTTTCAATATGTCCAATGCTACATCTACACAATTTAACAATATATATAATAGTTACTCAACAAGAAGATGCAAAAGTTGTTATGTCTTATTTCATTTACCTATTTTTATTTTATTTAGTTAATTGTTTATTTTAAAAAAATTCTTATTATTAGTTTCTCTTTTCTTTTTTGGAAATCTTGTTGTAGTTTGTTTTGTTTAGTGAAAAACCATCTTCTTTTCCTTGTGTTTCACCAAAAAGCATTGAAGTGGATTAAGTGCATCCACCATTTTGCTAAACCAAAAGACGGTGGGTCAGCAAGTTTTGTGTTTTTTTATTTATTTATTTATTTTTATTTTTTTGGGTTAAAAAGAAAGGTTTCACAACTATAAGATGAAAGTGTTGTATTTTTGTTGCCCCACTTGTGTTTGATTGAAAAGCAATTATGGACACGATTTACTGTCGGATACTTCTAGCATTCTTCTAAACCAAAATATGACCAAACAAATTAAAAAATAAAATGCCAAAAGAGAGAACGAAAAAAAAGAGAGGCAATTTTGGCCTAAGAGAATAAGCAAAACGAAATAACATGCTGTATTTCACCTACCTAATTAGAATTTAGGTTTTGCTAAAGATTCTCCAACCATTTAGGTTATTTGTATCTACTTCTTTCTGGCATGTACTAATTTTTAGCATTCACACCAGTGATGCAGTTTGCTTCTTGTTGTAATATTAATTGTATTGATTTTCCCCTCAAATTTTTCACATTGTGTCAATGTAGTCCAATTGATAACGCTCTTCCAAAAATTGAATTGAAATCAATGCACAAAATAGTCCATTCACTCTCCTCAAAATGATTGAGGGGTTGGTGTCCAATTTGAAATGGTTCATTCCCTTTTGAATGGACCATTTTACCCTTGACTTTTGTTAATTTTTTTAACCGGTATTATCAATTGGATTAAATTGACACAATGTGAAAATATTGAAGGGTGTAAAATTGATACAATTAGAACTACAGAGATCAAATTGACACAACAGTCAAATTACAAAGACCACGTATAATTTTCCCTAATTTTTCTTGTCCTTCATTGTTCCAATATATTTGTCAATCCATTACATGATGGAAGGGAGTATTTTATGATGACAAGAAATGTGTTGTAGTTTGTTGCACTAAAAAATTGACGAATATCTTAATCAAGAAGTGATTCAAAGCAAGTAACTCTTTTTAGGCAGGCTGAAAAGAAAAGGTTTGAATATTTACTTACCATACAAATCTGTGCTAACACAGGTATTGAGTATCCCAATTCGATCCTCATCTGACAAATCTTTACTCTTAGTCTTTTGGTAGAGATACCATACCATGTCACTATGTCCTAACAAAGCAGCCATATACAGTGGTGTCATTCCCTGGCTACCACGGATCATTGGCAGGTGTTCGTTCTTGTTAATCATCACTTCGGCAATTCTCACAGTTCCAGCAGCAGCCGCAAAACATAGGGCAGTGTTCCCATTACTGTTTTGAAGTTCCAAGTCTTCAGGATTCATCAGTCCCACCAACTCCTCCACAAAGTGAATGCGCTTCGCAGCTGCTGCAATGTGAAGTGCAGTTTCCCACCCTTTTGTGATACTAGAACGTATCACAGTTGGAAATATTTCTATGACACCATTAGTAGCTTTCCAGTCACCCTTCAAAGCAGCTTGGTAGAGGGGTTAGACATATGGCAAGATACTGATCCCTAGCTTCCCCTGTGTAAATTTTAAAGCACATATCATCATATCCAATTTTCCAAAACTTAATATCACAATTAACCAAAAATTAAGTCATATAAACAAAAAAAATAGAGATAATGAAATCATTTTATGGCATAACTAAAAATTGGTCATTAAGATAACTACATCATAAACTTGCTATTCTCACCCCATGTTCAAGAAAATGCTAATCATACAAAATTTTTATAGCAAGGACATTTTTATTCTTAATGACCAAACAAATATTGTATGCCTCGTCATTTCTGTTACATAGAATACGAAGTTCGTGGATACATAGTAGGATTTACCTCACTAAATACACACCTGAAAAAACAATGGGGAAAGAGAGAGCTTACGAGAGAGTAGATCACAAGAAGGAGCAATCAGCTGAGGTGAAGTTACAATCTGAATTTCAGGTCCATTTTGTGTTCCCCCTCCCATTGGTGTGCCCTCTTCCATCAAATGCACACTACTACTTCACAGCTTTGCACTGTACTTAAATCTTTTGTGAAAAAGAATCAGACCAAATGTGAAATAATGGAAGCTTATACATATACAGATATAGAAATGTATTTATAAATGATTAAAAACGCCGCTATAGGCCCTAAAAAGAATGAGACACACTGCTAGAAATGAGGGTTTTAGCGGTGTTTAAAAAATGCCTCCATAGGTCCTATAAACGCCGTCAAATCCTTTTGTGACGTTTAATACCAAACGTCGAAGATGCGGCTATTGCTATAACTTTATGACGCTTTAGAAACGTCGCTATATGACTATAGGCGACGTTTTTAGAAAAAATGCCGCTAAAAGGTCTACTAGCGGTAATATGACATCACCATGTTATTTTGCGACGTTTTTAAAACGCCGCCGTATCTCTTTTTAAAAAAATCCAACTATAACAAATTATTTGGCCAATACTTAAAAAAAAATAATTTTTTTCAAAAAAAAATAAAAAATAATTTTAAAGAATAAAATAAAAAATATTTTTTTTAATTTTTAAATTTTTTTAAATTGAGTTTAGAAAAAATTTGAATTGAGTTTTGAAAACTTTGTTTGGTTATGAATTGTCAAAATTGTCAAACTTTCAAAGTTTGTCCTCTGCCGAGTTTAAAATAAACTACCTAACGTCAGTTTAACCAAAATAAAACGAGGAGCAAATATTAGGTGTGCACTGACTTCACAAGACACGTCATTTAAGTCAGGAAGTATACATTCCCTGGCTACCACGGATCATTGGCAGGTGTTCGTTCTTGTTAATCATCACTTCAGCAATTCTCACAGTTCCAGCAGCAGCCGCAAAACATAGGGCAGTGTTCCCATTACTGTTTTGAAGTTCCAAGTCTTTCAGGAGTCGGGATCCTCGGCCGCCATTCTCGGCAGCCCTTCCCCGCAGCCCCCAAAACGACGTCGTTTTGGGGGCAAATTTTTTTTTTTAAAAAAAAAAATAAAAAATAAGAAGAAGAAGAAGAAGAAACTGAGCAGAGGCAAAGCAAAGAGGGAGGAGAAGGAACTTAAGGAAGAGATCAAACATCAAATATAGATAGAAGAAATTGATCAACCATCCATCTAAAGCAATAACAACAACATAATCATCCAACCCAGATTAGCTATTTGAAACAGGAGAGAAAGTGGTTACAAATTTCTGTTTCTATTTTAAAAATAAAATAAAATAATCTTCAAATAAAGACATCAACCATTCTATCATATCCTCTCTACCCTTGTTCAGACATTTCATCAGTAACCATCAAGATAAAAAAAAATAAACAAAAAAACCCCAGACATAAATTTAAAAAAATTAAATTAAATTAAATTTTCAAATAGAGACATCAATTATCCTATCAAATCCCTCCATACCATTGTTCATGCATATATAAAAAAGCCAACCCAGATCAGGAATTGCAAAAAAAAGCACAAGCGCACAAGCTAGATCCATAAACAGATAGATATACCTTGTTGGGTACAAAGAATCATTGGGGAATAACTGGTTATAACGCTTATACACAAATCCCTCCTTTTTTCCCATGAATTTGGACTGTCCTCTGCCTGATCTTCAAGAAGATTGAAAGTCATTACAGTTAGAGAAACACTCATTTTTTCCCCCCTCTTTATATATATCCCTCAATCACAGGACAAAGTCAAGCAGATGTTTGGTTCGCTTTTGCTTTCTTTCTCAGAAGTTGTACAGGAAATCTGGGGATTCATCAGATTAACATAGCAGGCAAGTTTTTGATCTCTTCCTTAAGTTCCTTCTCCTCCCTCTCTGGTTCGCCTCCTCTTTTCCTCCTTCGTCCAGATTTGTCGCCTCTGTGTCTAGGGTTCAAAAAAGGAAAGGGGTTAAAAAAAAAAAAAAAAAAAAAAAAATACAAAACGACGTCGTTTTGTAGTGCTGCTTGAAGGGCCGCAGGAATGTGCGGCCGAAGATCCGAACTCGTCTTTCAGGATTCTTCAGTCCCACCAACTCCTCCACAAAGTGAATGCGCTTCGCGGCTGCTGCAATGTGAAGTGCAGTTTCCCACCCCTTTTGTGATGCTAGAACGTACTCCCTCCGTTCCAAAATAATGGTCTCTTTTGGGGAATTCAATTTTTTTTGATAGTACAATTATTGCATTTGAAAAAAAGTTAATTTTCCAAAATTATCCTTTTGATAGTACATGTTTTGGGAATATTAATGTCATTATTGTACCTTTTATATTGTTTATTAATTTAAAAGAAGGGCAAAATAAAAAAATTATATTATTTTTGTACTTGATTTTTGAAGAGGGACTAATATTTTGGGACAATGAAAAATGGAATAAGGAACTAATATTTTGGGACGGAGGGAGTATCACAGTTGGAAATATTTCTATGACACCATTAGCAGCTTTCCAGTCACCCTTCAAAGCAGCTTGGTAGAGGGGTAGACATATGACAAGATACTGATCCCTAGCTTCTCCTGTGTAAAATTTGTAGCACATATCATCGTATCCAATTTTCCAAAACTAATATCACAATTAGCCAAAAATTAAGTCAAATAAACAAAAAAGCAGAGATAATGAAATCATTTTATGGCATAACTAAAAATTGGTCATTAAGATAACTACAACATAAACCTGCTTTTCTCGCCCCATTTTCAAGAAAATGCTGATCATACAAAATTTTTATAACAAGGACATTTTTATTCTTAATGACCAACAAATATTGTAAGGCTTGACATTTCTGTTACATAAAATACGAAGTTCATGGATACATAGTAGGATTTACCTCACTAAATACACACCTGAAAAAACAATAGGGAGAGAGAGAGCTTACGAGAGAGTAGATCACAAGAAGGAGCAATCAGCTGAGGTGAAGTTACAATCTGAATTTCAGGTCCATTTCGTATTCCCCCTTCCATTGGTGTGCCCTCTTATATCAAATGCACACTACTACTTCACAGCTTTGCACTTAAATCTTTAAAGAAAAAGAATGAGACCAAATGTGAAATAATTGAAGCTTATACATATACAGATACAGAAATGTATTTAGCACATTTATTAAATATAAATTATGCTGATAAAACAAGAATTACATATATATATATAAGTGTTGTCAGCACTGTACACTGGTGCAATTTGTGTAATTGCAATGCTCAAACACCATCAAAATTTTATTTTATTTTTTATTTTTGCAGAGATGAATAAAAACCTGAAGTGAACATTGTCAAATTCACTACAGAGGCTTTTTGCATCAGCTTTATCTCTAATTCCAGCCCTCTCCTCCTGTGTACTTTGTGGAAATGCCTCAATTTGGTGCTCTGTTTTTTGCCTCAATTTCATCATTTTGCATAGTTCTGGTTGGGTTTTTGACGGTGCAGCAAACTGCTTTTGTAATAAACTCTCTACCCCTCTCTTCTTAACTCTCTCTCTCTCTCTCTCTGGGTCGGAAAACAAACAGACCCTAAACCCCCTCTCCAGCGCAGCGCCTCCCACCTAGCAAGGATTCTCTAGAGTCTTTTTTTCCTAAAATTTTTTAAAGTGGTGTATTGTGTGGTTGAGATTTAATGCTGAAAAATTGATGTGACTTGTCATTAAATCTCAACCACACAATGTACCACTCTAGAAAACTTTAAAAAAAAAAAACTCTAGAGGATCCTTGCTCCCTCCCACCACCATCGCCACTGTGCAGCCTTCCGAAGGTGACGGCGGAAGAGAGAGAGAGAGACAGCGAGATAGTGGTTAAGTTATGGCGTGTAATTCACCCGGTTTAATTTGTTTTTTATTTTTCATTTTTATACCAAATTATTTTTATTTTTATAAAAGAAAAAATTGTAGCAGGCCGGTTTAGTCAAAAAGTTACTAAAAAGTCAAAAGCCAACAACTCATACAAAAAAGTCAAAGATTCTCTTTTCTCTCTACTTTTTGCACATCTTTTCGTAAAAAATCCAAAAGTCATCCCAAACATACTAGTTTTTTTTAGCTCATATTTTAACCAAATAACCAAAAAATTACTAAATTAGCATGTTCTCAAACGAGGCCTAAATAACATAATGAAAAATGTCATACAAATTAATAAATTTTTGCTACCGATTGATTAGACCATCTCCAACGGTTCACCAAACTTGACATCAAATTTTAATTTTGGTGAAAAAGTTACTGTTTGGTGCTCCAATGGTTGCATCAAATCGGTATCAAATTGAGAATTCACCAAAAAATTCATCAAAGTGAGAACAGCGTACAGATTTCATCAAATTACTATGCGCGATCGTTGGAGGAGAGGAACCGGTCAACCAGCCGGTTGCCCGGCCGGTTGACCAACCGGTCGACCACGAAAAAGTTCAAACAATTCAAATTTATAGGTTCAAAAAAAAAAAAAATTGCCTTACCGGTCGACCAGCTGGTCGACCAACCGGTCCACCACTAAAAGGTTCAAACAGTTTAACTTTATTGGTTCAAACAATTCAAAAAAAAAATTTTTTTTTTCCTCTTCGGTCGACCGGCCGGTTGACCAACCGGTTGTCCTGGAGCAGATTTGATAAAAAGTGAACCGTTGGAGCTGTCTGTATCAAATTGAGAAAATGGTGATTTTTTTACTCAGATTTGGTGAAAAATTTGGTGAACCGTTGGAGATGCTCTAATGGTTTCATTAAATAATATCAAAAATCTTTTACCAAATTGAGGACGCTGAGAGCGTTCATCAAGTCACTATTCATAATCGTTAAATTTTCATCACCGAATGTCTTTCGAATGACTATTTCTAAACAAAAATTTGTAAAAAATATAGACTAGCCGATCAATCGACCGGACATCCGTCCACTGGTCTAGTCGTTCACCAGATCAAAACGTCTTTTAATAAAAATATAAAATCCTTTATTAAAACCCTTGATATCCAATAAAATTTTTACTCAAATTTATTTGAAGAGAAAAAAAAAAAAAAAACCCGTTGGTGATGAAAGCTTAGTCCGAATAACCCACAAGTTAGAGTGGTCCTACCATTTTTCAAATTGGCACACATGTGGGCTCTCAATATGATTTGAAGTTCCTTTTTCCATGTACCTAAAAAAACAAAAAAAAGTGAATTACACTAACACTCCTTAAAATTTATGTTTATTACAGTTTCTTCTTCACTTTTTAAAAATTATATTTTTCTCTTGAAGTTTAAAATTTTATTACAGATTCTCCCCTCAGCAATTTAATTTTTTTAAATACTAATTTTACCCTTACTAAGTAAATTACATTGACGCCCCTCACATTTTAGAAATTACAATCTCCTTCTTAAGGTTTAAAGTAACATTACCAATTGAAAAAAAATTAATTGAAAAAAATTTTGTTAGTTAAATTTTTAAATTTTTGTTTAAAAATCAACGTAAACTCATTTTTTGAATTTACATTTTTTTTCAAATTTACAAATTGAGACAGCCATTTATAAGCCAAAAAAACTATCAAATAAGTTTTTATGACAGTTTTTTAAATTTTTGTAAATATAAATTTTAAACTGAAAACGAAATGATTATCAAACAGAGTTCAGATGGTAAAAATGTCGTAAAATTAACAAATAATTAAATAAGTTACCAACGTAAGAAATGACTTATCAAAAGATTGTTAGGCTATGTATGGTTTGATTTTTAGAATTTTTTTTAAAAATTAAAAATTAATTTGGTTAAGAAATAAAAAATAAAAAATAAATATTATTTTTATATAATTTTTATCTTTCGAGTGGTTAGATATAATTTTTTACAAATTAAATTATTTCTTCATATTTATTTTTATTAAATTAGTTTTTTTTTTTAAATGTCAGAGAGGAATCCGTATTAAATTGAAATCTCAGGGGGTGTCAATGTAATTTACCCTTTAAAGTATATGTAAAGGTTAAAACTAAATATGTCATTTTAACTTAAAAGTTAATACTCAGTGTAATTTTCCAAATATAAAGAGAAACTGTAATAAACATAAACCTCAGGGGTTGTCCGTGTAAATAAAAAATAATGAACTTTTCTTTTATACTTATTTTGTCTTTTTAATTTTTTTATTACTTTTTTTTGAACTTTCTAGATTTATCTACCTAAAACGGATTGAAAAAGTAAAAGTCAACTTTAGGGTTGGTTTGGGAAGTGGATTGACTTTTTGGCTTTTTAATTTTTTTAGTTATTTTAGCCTGGGCTGAAAAGCTTGGTTTGGGAATGACTTTTTGGCTTTTTTACTTTTTTAACTTTTTTTGTGAGAGAATAGTGTAATGATTATGGGTTAGATGTGATGTTTTGTTTGTTGTGACTAAAATAATCTATTTTATCTTTTGAGGCTAAAATAGTCAAAAATACCCACAAAATCAATTCCCAAACGGTGCTAAAATAGTTTGGTTTTCATAATCAAATCTTGGGACATTATTTTCTCAAACCGATTTTAAAATTTTAAAATTTATTTAGATGTATATTTTAAAAATATTTTTTTACAAATTTGAAGTTTTCTAGTTTAAGATGATTTGTGATTTTGTATATGGGTGAAATAAAAAATAATTGATTGATGTGTGTGATGTGTGAGGAGGAAAACAAATTTGAAGTTTTCTAGTTTAAGATGATTTGTGATTTTGTATATGGGTGAAATAAAAAATAATTGATTGATGTGTGTGATGTGTGAGGAGGAAAACAAATTTGAAGTTTTCTAGTTTAAGATGATTTGTGATTTTGTATATGGGTGAAATAAAAAATAATTGATTGATGTGTGTGATGTGTGAGGAGGAAAACAAATTTGAAGTTTTCTAGTTTAAGATGATTTGTGATTTTGTATATGGGTGAAATAAAAAATAATTGATTGATGTGTGTGATGTGTGAGGAGGAAAACAAATTTGAAGTTTTCTAGTTTAAGATGATTTGTGATTTTGTATATGGGTGAAATAAAAAATAATTGATTGATGTGTGTGATGTGTGAGGAGGAAAACAAATTTGAAGTTTTCTAGTTTAAGATGATTTGTGATTTTGTATATGGGTGAAATAAAAAATAATTGATTGATGTGTGTGATGTGTGAGGAGGAAAACAAATTTGAAGTTTTCTAGTTTAAGATGATTTGTGATTTTGTATATGGGTGAAATAAAAAATAATTGATTGATGTGTGTGATGTGTGAGGAGGAAAACAAATTTGAAGTTTTCTAGTTTAAGATGATTTGTGATTTTGTATATGGGTGAAATAAAAAATAATTGATTGATGTGTGTGATGTGTGAGGAGGAAAACAAATTTGAAGTTTTCTAGTTTAAGATGATTTGTGATTTTGTATATGGGTGAAATAAAAAATAATTGATTGATGTGTGTGATGTGTGAGGAGGAAAACAAATTTGAAGTTTTCTAGTTTAAGATGATTTGTGATTTTGTATATGGGTGAAATAAAAAATAATTGATTGATGTGTGTGATGTGTGAGGAGGAAAACAAATTTGAAGTTTTCTAGTTTAAGATGATTTGTGATTTTGTATATGGGTGAAATAAAAAATAATTGATTGATGTGTGTGATGTGTGAGGAGGAAAACAAATTTGAAGTTTTCTAGTTTAAGATGATTTGTGATTTTGTATATGGGTGAAATAAAAAATAATTGATTGATGTGTGTGATGTGTGAGGAGGAAAACAAATTTGAAGTTTTCTAGTTTAAGATGATTTGTGATTTTGTATATGGGTGAAATAAAAAATAATTGATTGATGTGTGTGATGTGTGAGGAGGAAAACAAATTTGAAGTTTTCTAGTTTAAGATGATTTGTGATTTTGTATATGGGTGAAATAAAAAATAATTGATTGATGTGTGTGATGTGTGAGGAGGAAAACAAATTTGAAGTTTTCTAGTTTAAGATGATTTGTGATTTTGTATATGGGTGAAATAAAAAATAATTGATTGATGTGTGTGATGTGTGAGGAGGAAAACAAATTTGAAGTTTTCTAGTTTAAGATGATTTGTGATTTTGTATATGGGTGAAATAAAAAATAATTGATTGATGTGTGTGATGTGTGAGGAGGAAAACAAATTTGAAGTTTTCTAGTTTAAGATGATTTGTGATTTTGTATATGGGTGAAATAAAAAATAATTGATTGATGTGTGTGATGTGTGAGGAGGAAAACAAATTTGAAGTTTTCTAGTTTAAGATGATTTGTGATTTTGTATATGGGTGAAATAAAAAATAATTGATTGATGTGTGTGATGTGTGAGGAGGAAAACAAATTTGAAGTTTTCTAGTTTAAGATGATTTGTGATTTTGTATATGGGTGAAATAAAAAATAATTGATTGATGTGTGTGATGTGTGAGGAGGAAAACAAATTTGAAGTTTTCTAGTTTAAGATGATTTGTGATTTTGTATATGGGTGAAATAAAAAATAATTGATTGATGTGTGTGATGTGTGAGGAGGAAAACAAATTTGAAGTTTTCTAGTTTAAGATGATTTGTGATTTTGTATATGGGTGAAATAAAAAATAATTGATTGATGTGTGTGATGTGTGAGGAGGAAAACAAATTTGAAGTTTTCTAG